GCACACTAAAATGTACATTTAAATAATAAAATAACGTCTAGAACAATGCACGTTTGTTTGTTGTTTGTGAGGGGCTTTGAGTTGCATGTATGTAGGAAAAATGCTATACAAATCAAATTTATAACTATAATTATTAAAAAGAAAAAAATATCTAGATTTTTTTTTAAAGAGCCCCTATTATGTTTTAAAAAGGGTCATATTTTGGTTTTATGAGTCTCCAACAACAGTCTGATATGCATGCATAGTCAAAAAACACATTCATTGTCCTATAATATGCATTTATTTTTACCTAAACATGCCAACGACTCCCATATGATTCGCTTAGTGATTAATTTGTTCTCAAACCCCTCCTTAGCATGATGCTAATCTATGCTGATTGGTCTGATGACCCAGATCATTGCGATTGGTCGACTGCGTTCACCGCGAGACCTAGAGAAATGCCCACCAAGGCATATCAACAATTTTGAAGTAATCAGAGTGCGGAGTGTATGTGTGAGCCCAATGCAGGAGTGCATTAGAGCAATGCAATTAAAGACCAACATATTGCTCTTTTCTTCATCATGACATACATTCCGTATTAATCCACACAGTGGCAAAAGCTGAACTATATTGAACAATGACTGCTGCACGTGTGTAGGAGCAGTTGATGGTGGCCATAGCAACAACAAACGGCAGTGGATCGCATGCTCACAAAAGCATTTAAAACTGTAAAAAAAAAGCGTCACGCATCACATTTTCAACGTGGTTTTAGATGCGATATGAAAATATAAAGAGTTAACCAGATACAGTACAAACAGTTACAAGTAACAAAACACAATAAATTACATTAATTGCAAGCTAAAGAAAACAAGGACGCAACCATTTTGATCAAACTTACTTACAATTGTAAAATAGAGGAAGGAACTGATCCATGAACTGTGTACTTTAATGGCTCGATTCCACTGAGTGGTACGGATTTGGTATGGTACGGTTCGGTTTGGTACGCTTTTATGGCCGTTTCCACTGTCAAAAGCGAACCGAACCAAACCGTACCATACCACTTTTTTGGCACCCTTTTGAAAGGGTAGTACACGTGAGAAAGGGTACCAAAAGGTGGAGCTACATGTGCAGCTGAACGCTGATTTTTTACAGAGATACGTCACAAGCTTGTGGAGCTACACAGAACGTACACAATGGAACTGAGAGGTTTTTTTAAATAAAAAGCCGAGACATACTATAATACTATAATATAACTATAATAACCAGCCATGGATGACCCGGGCTCAAACAAACCTTGTCGTCGTCTTGATGAACAGACACAAAGCCAAGAAGAAAAATCTGCCGTGTTCTGTTGTTGTTTTACGAGCCTGTCTAAAAGTGCGAGTGGTATTCGCTTTTTGTTGGGAGCTTGCGATCGCTTCTATATTTGATATAACGAACTTCTTGAGCCGTTGATAATAACGTGAGTGCAATTTAGGCTTGGGCGGTATCCAAATTTTGATACCCTCAAAATGCCTTCATATTTTACCCCAGTATCCAGTATTACCGACGTAATTAAAAAAAATTATGACGTAAGGCTCAGACAGCGTCACCAAACTGTTAGCTTGTGCCTAAACCATTCAGAAACTGAATACCTTATATGCGACCTTAGGCTCGCGGTCACCTGTTTGTCTTTGTATTCTACGCGGGACACTCCTCTCATTTGCACGCAGACACACACACACACAGAAACAGAGAGAGAGGGAGAGAGAGAGGGGTGCTGTGCTTCGCTTCTCTCTGTGCGTGCGTGCGTGTGTGTGTGAGAGAGAGAGAGAGAGAGAGAGAGAGAGGCGAAGCACAGCTCCTCTCTCTCTCTCTGTCTGTCTCTTACACACACACGCACATCGCTCTCGCGGTTTATTCGGAAAATCTGGTCAGCTCCCGCGGTACAGCAGCGGGAATCCAGAGAGCTGTAATCGGGCCATAAAAATAAGGCCCAATGGGGCCAGAGCCCAACAGGTACATTTTGATTGACAGCTTTTTAAACCCCGAACTCGTTTATTTTTTTCAAGAATGAGTCATTTATATGTTTTAACATAATTTATTCGTTAATACAAAAGTAGACTATAGGCCACTTGGAAGTTGGAACAAAAAATTAAATAAGTCCTCTGTAACATCGTAACATCTTAGCACTTTAAATAGGCCTAACTTAGGTACATACCCTTTGCCAATAAATTGGCTAACACACCAATGAAAAGAAGTCTTGCCTAACAAATCAAATTAAAATTAACTCTAAGTGATGACGGGTATTTTGGGAATAACGAAATTAAGATAAAGGCTGTGCAAGGTTTGTTTCCCCACTTCTCTTCACAATCTGGCATTAAGGTGAAGCTGAATACTAAAATAAAAATGCCAACATTAGCCTGTATTCTCTGTCTACATTATGATTATATGGTTTAATTAATATTCATTTATAATTTAGAAAACCCTTTACTCACCAAGATTTGGCTACGTGTGTTTGTGGAGGAACATTATTAAATCAACTGGCTTTAGCGCAGTCCTGCTTTCAGGACCGATGGTGCGTTCAGCAGCACTGAACACCTTTTCCTGCTGCTACAGGCCGAGATGCAGAGTTCTGATCCGGCTGATTTTGCAAGTTTTGGGTAGGATTGTTTGTTCATCTTCTACCAGCCAGGAACATCCATTTAATTTTCCATGACGGCAGTTTCAGTGTAGCGAGTGGCCTCATCTTTTTACCTGTCCGCTTGCGATTTTGCGCTCTACCGTAATACGCAGTGTATGAACGACCGCTGAAATACCTTGGCGGCTAGAATGATGGTTACTTCAGAGCTAGTGACTGGCTTGACCACCGTCAAAATTCACTTTTTTTACTTCTCCGTCATCATTTGTTTCACCTTTGCAGGGATGGATTTTAATGCAGGGATTTAGATTTTTTCGGGTCCCGCCGGGTTCGGGCAAAGATCTTCAGCTCTAATGCAGACCTCTCGTTTATGTTTACCACCACGTCTCCAGTCGAAACCAGAAATACTGTCAAACTGCAGGTTACTTACTTTTACTCTTCAAAAAAAAAAAAAGAGAAGCCGTCAAAACACAGGAGCAAAATTGTTTTAGCAACCTGAATCATGAACAATCTGCCATGATTGTCTTTGCCTTTTGGACTATTATGAACTAGGAATGACAAAATTACTCTCCAACAGAGCTTACATGTGCTGGTGAAGATGACAGACACAGATGAGAGGTTTGCGCTGACTGTTGGCTATATTGCGTGAGTTTTTAAACTCAAATAAGTACTAAATGTTTGTTGTGTGTAGTGTTTCTGTAATTAATAATATATAGGAGACTGTAAGGGGCTGTATGTGTTCATATATGTTGCATTTATGTATTCATTTTATATAATTATAAACGTTACAGTAGCCTATTTCGCACTGTCATTGATCTGCAGTTATAATCAACTCATGTAAATAGAAAAGTTAGTAATTAACATTTATAAACAAGTATTTATGCGTATTAAGCATCTGTTTTGTGAGAAGTGCTGCTCATTATGATATGTGAACGACCCGTACAGCTTTACTGTAGACATTTATTTGAGCGAGCATGAAGTCGACTTAACCTTTGTCATACACCACGCCCACCAAAAGGGTACCCTTTGTGGTGGAAACGCAAGCCTGATAAAGGTGACCCGTACCGACCGGAACCGTACCGTACTGTACCAGTCAGTGGAAACGAGGCATAAGGTTCCTGTTAAGCTCTGACAAAGTCCCATTCATCAATAGTCTTTTCTGATCCTTCCTCTAACAAACGGCTGACGAATTCCCTGTTGTAAACATGTAGATTGTTAAAGCACACATCAGAAAAATTAAGGGAACGCAGCACAGAGCTGGGGCTATAATGCGGAGGTATTTTTGCAAAAATAAACTTCAACCACTGACTCTTCACAGCCTCATTCAGGAAAAATAACACTTTTTCCTCCTTTTCTTTCTACAGTGTTTGTGGGTGGGGCCGGGGGTTTAATTTTCCTGCACATGCAAGCGGGGCTTGATTTCATATCGACGACACACTGACACAGCTAAAGACTCCTTACATCGACGATTCATTCGAACCATTATGAGTCGACTCTTTTATAGATGAATAAATAGTTTTAAACACGGCGCACTTTCGGATTTAAACATCAGCTGGATATTTCACTTCACTAAGAGCTGTGTTACACACTGCATGGAAGGTCACTTTCAAAAACCTATAATAGGGGCTCTTTAAAAATGGAAAAAAAAATTAAAAAGGCCTCATACATGTGCGGATGGTTAGTGTTTCTTTTTAAAATAATATTTTATCAACTTTTACATCCATTTGCAAACGATTTCATAAAAGCACAGAAAAACTTTTATAGTACATCACTGCCGTGTAAACTTTTTCCTTTATCTCCCAATTAATAAGTTAATTATTAGAGTACCTAACCAATCTAAACAAATAAAACAGTGAGATGAACGTCAGTCAGTTATCCACAAATATTTGAGTTGTACCACAGTGAGGGAAATAATCTCTCAGACCAGCTACTGAAGTCCACGACCCAATGTCTCTGCAAACATCTGAACAAATATTTAGCCATTTAAATCAAGACAACGCCTCTGTCTGATTTATTTAGAACTAAAAAGTAGATATTCAAAAATCTTTCATTCTTTTTAATGGTTAATCTTAAATATATTAACCACTTTGCTAGATTATTGCCAACAAACAATTGAAACCTCATATATTTTGACCAAAGCCTAGCAAAATGTGAAAAAAGTTATGCAAATACTGAGAACCCACAGAAGAATAATCACTTTGAGACGTGATCTTCCCTAAACAACCAGTCGTGAGGCAAAGCACGCAACAGTGGACAGTTAAGCTTAATAATTGAACTGACCGAGGGTCTAACAAACAAACTGTGGCAAACATACATATTGACAGAGCAAAAGGCGTCCACGTACAGAGAGGTCACAACATTAACAGACAGATGGCAATGCGAGGCTGGAGAAACTACTCACGTGGCTTTTGGCCCCATACGTGCAAATGGAGCTTCCCAGAAGAGTAGTAGATGAACCCCAAGACCAGCATGGGACACACGACGAACAGTAGTTTGTGTGCAGGCTTCATGTTCCTCAACCATTCACATGGTACCGTGTTTTTACATCACCTAGAAACAGGACAGAAAAAAAAGAGAGGAGGGTGAATCACACATTCACATCAAGCAGTCAAGCAGACAGACTCGCATTATCAAACACTAAAAGCAAAGCCAGGACTAAGATTAGACTTTTTAAAAAAATTGATTTCACTGTGTTGAAAATCGGGAGACGATTCCAAAGGTTCAAATCTATTCCATCAAGAGGGAACAACTCTTCTATTCAGTCCATTCATTCATTCCTTTTCCTTAGTCCTATAATGAACCGCCGACTATTCTGCCATATGTTTTAGCAGATGCCTTCCTAAAGTTCATCAAGATTCATTAGATTCATCTTCAGTGCCTCCTCCATATTACCACAGACATGCTCAATAATGTTCATGTCTGGTGACTGGTCTGGCCAATCCTCAAGCACCTTGACCTTCTTTGCTTTCAGGAACTTTGATGTTGAGGCTGAAGTGTAAGAAGGAGCACTATCCTGCTGAAGAATTTGCCCTTTTTTGTGGTTTGTAATGTAATGGGCAGATGTAATGGTCTTGATAATTCAGGCTGATGATGTTGCCATCCACTCTGCAGATCTCACACACGCCCCCATACTGAATGTAACTCCAAACCATGATATTTCCATTACCAAGCTTGACTGATTATTGCGAGAATTGTGGGTCCATGTAGGCTCCAATAGGTCTTCTGCAGTATTTGTGATGATTGGGATACAATTCAACAGAAGATTCATCTGAAAATTCTCCCTTCTGACACTTTTCCAAATGATCAACTACAAGTCAATTTATTATTTGTTGCTCTTACAACTGGGATCAATGACAAGACTTTTGTCAGGTAATGTACTCAAACACTATGGACAATTTTGTTTACCCAAATCATAGCGCATGTCTTTGGACTGTGGGAAGAAAACCAGAACACCTGGAGAAAACCCACGCGAACATGAGGAGAATATGCAAACTCCACACAGAAATGCCAACTAGCCCAGCTCGGACTTAAACCAGCAACTTTCCTGCTGTGAGGCTAACCCCAATTTTCTCTTTAATATAAGTAATCATTAAAAGGTTAATTCACACCAAATTGAAATGATGTTATTATTATTCACCCTCATTTCATTCCAAACCAACAAGACATGTGTTCGTCTTCAAAACAAAAATTAAGATATTTTAGATGAATTATGAGTGCTCTCTTATAAACCAGACAGCAATGACCCCAGATCATTCCTTAAGTCCAGAAAATTTTTAAAACATTGCTCAAAACAGTTTTTATGCCTTGAATGATTTGATTAAAGAATATTATGAAGCTACAACAATCCTTTGGTGCAAACATAAAACAAAAATAATGACTTTATTTAACAGTTTCTTCTCCTCAGTGTCAGAACAGTTTGCATGTTCATGAGAGTGCTGTGCTCTTTGTGAGACACACTCTGTCCCACTTCAGACGTTTCAAACACAAGTTGCACGCAGTCATCCGGGTCATACATCATTGCAGTGCTCGTGGTTGTGAGATCTACTGACACAGAATTATTTTTGTATTTTAGGTTAGCACTGAGAATACTTCAGTAAGTATTCTCATAGCTTGACAGTACTTACACTGAATAGTTTTAATATGGTTTTTGGTACCTTTCCTCAAATCAAGACCATTGCTGTCTATGGAGGTTGAGGGAGCTCTCAGATTTCATACAAAATATCTTTAATAGTGTTCTGAAGATGAATGACGCTCTCAGGTTTTAAAACAGCATGAGAGCGAGGAGTAAATGTTGACAGAATTTTTAGTTTTGGGTGAACTATCCTTTTAAGTATACTCTCATGTGCAAATATTGATTCAGACACTTTGGTTTAAAGAACTAGTCAGTAGCTTCAATACTAGGTGCGTTTCACCAGTGGAGTAAGGTAATAATTACAAACACTCAAATTACTGTAATTGAGTACTTTCTCTCAGGAATTGTAATTTACTAAGTAGTTTTAAAATGTGTACTTTTACTTTCAATTGAGTGCATTTTTAGGCTACTTTTTCCACCACTGGTCTACACATTGTGAGAAAGCAGATAAGAATCGCATTAATATCAGTGGTCTAGCATTGTTGGTCACTCAGGGCTCGAAATTGCGACCATTTTGGTCACATATGCGCCCGAAATTTTATCCATGCGACCTTAAAATATATTTGGGAGCATTTCTGCGAGTGCTTAAAATTGTTGTGTGCGACCAGTTATTACTGCAAAATGTTCACCACATGCGCGGATTCGGGAGACATTCACGAAGAATGCATCTCTAAGCTCTTTGTCTGCACTTGAAACGTGAAACGCAGCGCTCTGGAATGGTGTAAAACAGTTGTCTTATCAACTTGCTGCAGTAAACAAATCCAAGTCCGTAATGCTTGCCCCGCATTCGCGCTCTTCTTTTTGGCCCACTACTGCTCTAGCACTGAACGCGAATGATTGGTTAATATCAGCTGTCAATCACTTAGCGCCTTCTGGCTTCGGATGACGAGAGAGCTACTGTCGCGAAAAATTGTAAAGCGCTGAAGATGAGAATGAAGATAAAACTGGCAGATTTAGTTTTGGAAACCATCTAGTTACAAATAATAACACATCTTACTAGTGATCATGTGCTGAATGTTAATCCACCATCCACACTTTTCCAAGAGTAGAAGACTTCCATTGGCTTCAAGTCCGCTAAGAAAAGTCTGTGGGATGGAGTTTTCAGGTAACTGTTTGCCACATCTGGCACAAGAGCTTCTGTTTAATCCTTCATGTAAGTTAATCGCCAGATGCTGTCCGCCGTGCAAGGGGCAGCTATATGTCAAATTAAACACCACGTACACCATCGCAAACAGGCTTGCACTGAGTAAACTATTATCGCTACTCCTAAAAAAAACGGTATTGCTATTAACATGTATGCATATAATAAGGCACAGTATATGTCAAAAGCAACAGTGTAATATCAGACAGCACCCGTGAGAACAGCACAGTTATACCGTTAACAGATTCCTGTCAAGCAGTGCGTGCAGGGCGGGTGAGCGCTCCGTGTTTGCTTTGGTCACTCAGTTACGTTATAAAAATCTATTTTCTTGTGATAACGGGATTTCATTGAGACATATTTTCCTCACGCTTGCATATATAAATTTTTTTTTTTTGCTTGTCAGTTTGATTAGAGTTGATTTTAAATGCAATAAATATGTTTTTATAAAACTTGTAACGGTGCTCATAATTGGTGGGTGCGACTAAATTTTGGCTAATGCGCCTAAATTTTTAAAGTTAGGAGCACCGGTGCTACCAAGCAAAAATTTTAATTTCGAGCTCTGTCACTACATCCTGCTAACAAATACATGCAGTAGGACTGCTTAAACACTAAACAAAAAGAAAACTCACTTGTCATCACCTCCTCAGCCATAGTAACTTTAGTAATTCTATTTAGCCATGGTAGTAACCCATCAAATAAACTCCCATCATCTCTCAGAGAATTCAAAAATTCCTTCTTCAAAGTCTTGTGTGTAGAAATGCCATCTGGGTCAGTATTGGTGGAAACTGCATTTGAAAGTGAAAGTTTATTCATGCATGATTTCTTAAAGGGACAGCAGCTATTTATGCCCCTATTAATCAAATAGCATCAAAAGACTAAAGAACTCACAAGACATACACTCATATACATTTGAACAGTGAAGAGTGTAACAGTCAATATGGCAAATGAAGGCCCTCCTTCTTGAACAAGAGCCTATCATTGATCAATATAAACTGACAATTCTCTAGGGGAGGGTGTGGTCGCCAGGAAGTGCAAAAAAACATTACAAAGTGTTAACTTGTTTCCACGTACTCTCGTTTGAATGTTTCTACATCCTCTCACGCTGATATTTTCACAGAATAGCTCTGAATGACAAAACAATGTTTTGTCGTAGTTGGTCAAACCATAATTTTTATAACTGTAGACTCATGTTAACCTGTGTCTAAAAGTCACACATAAGCTGATACTTACTGGTGTGTGGTGATACATTTCCGGTGTGTGGTGCATTCCCTTTTTGTTAAGAATATGTAATTATAAATTTGTTTCAGGACTGGTAATAGTGTTTTGCGTTTTGTAAATTTTTTACTCTAAAATGTAAATTTGTTTTGTCCTTGGCAAAATTGTTTTTCCATGTAATTGTGTCTTATTATGTGTAAATTGTAAAATGTAAATTTGTCTTGAGCTTCGTAAAAGTGTTTCACACTTTGTAATGTTGTTTTGCACTTCATGGCCACCATAGTAGGGGCTCGGACCAGATGTGTGTTTTTCACGACAAACTCTGCGGAGTCAGCAAACGTACTGAAATCTCAGCAAATACTTGCTTTACAAACATGAGAAATAAATCCACATAAAGCTTGAAACCTTTACTTTTAAATTAACCAACTACACAACAAATGTTCTTTGGTTTTGTAATTTGCATGAAACTAACGCAAGGTACTAGGGCTGTGCAATTAATCGAAAATTCTATTTCGATTTTGGCTTCTAACGATTATGAAAAACCATTAATCGTTAATTTAACCATTAAAAAATAAATTTATTTTGCATCATATACTACCCCCTTTCCAGTTGTACACATTTGTTGCTCTTCAAAGCTCAGTTTCACATGGAAATGACTAAAAGCATGTACTGTAATGTAACTTTTGCAGCACGGGTCAAAAGTTTGCATCATTCATGCTTTTAAAACCACGAATCAGACCACATGCTGCCGGCGCGCACACAAAACATGTCAGCATTCGGTCTCATTCGCACACCTCAGAGATGAGCAGAACACACACATCTAAAGTCATCAATGTGAGCGCTTTAATGGTCAAATAGGTGTCAAAACGCCATGTTTATTGGTTATTCATATTAACCCTCATTTGTGTAACCTTTACATGCTCCCTCTGAGCCAAATTATGAGAAAGAACCAAATCTCCTACCACAGCTATGCTGATGACACTCAGATCTACCTAGCCTTACTGCAACGACAACAGCCCCATTGACAACCTCTGCCAATGCATTGATGAAATGAACAGTTGG